AGAATAAAATATTTGATAAGGCTCAGTGGCTTAAGCTGCTGGCTAGTTGGCATCTGCCTCTAGCGGTCATGGGTTCGATGCTCCTTAGAGGACCGAGGGAATGAGCGCCACTGACGAGCCCCAATAGGGCGAAACGCGTCTGGCGCTTTTCCGGACTAGGCTCTGCTATGTAGCTTGTGAATTCTTGGGATGTAAGCCTTCTCAGATGTACAACTAAAATCCTGCTACTAATGAGTACAATAAAATATTTATTTATTATACGGTTTTTGTCTGGGAGCGTTGGGAGGAAAATCACATTTTATAGAGAATAAAACCCAGAACACTGTGTATGGGTATGACATAATATTTGTAATGATGAATAGTCCCAGAAACTTGCATTTACTATTCACGACAAATCCATGTAATATGGCTGCAAATAACCATAAGTGCCGGGCTGGCCCTACTGCTCAGCACATCCTAGACTACCCAATATTTCGAGATCCAATCGAATCGTTCATGATAATTTACAATGATCACCTGCTTATTTTGCTAAAACTAAGGCGATGCGGTGGCTGAAACCCAATTTGTGCAATTAGACTGTTTATGGTCAGCCTCGCCTTGCCTTAGTGAGGTTGTTTGTTCGTTTTAAATTTCATTTGAACGACATTGAAGGTTGTTTCTTCTTACACATAACACGATTATTCCACGGGCTGTGGAGAATACCTGTAAGATCTGAATTCACAATACTCTGTTGAAAAGGTACTCCTAACAGTTTGTGACCTGGACGGTATATTACCTTGGCAGTAACCAAGGCCCTAAGAAATGGTTTTCGAATCCTCTGTGTGCTTTGACAGAGGGAAACAATTATTATAATTACTCCAGATTAGTCAGAGTGAAGGTAGATAGAGTAGTATATTTCTTGGTCAATATCGGAGCGTTCAGATCGCGTATAAGTGCGAAGTGCAAGACCTGAAGCATAGGCTGATACAGATGGCTAATGCGATGAAAACGAGCATAACTTTTAGGGAGAGCCGTTCGGTGGACCTAACAAGGCTTCTCATTGGTGAATCGGTGGTTGTTGCCCTCGCAGTGACGCCAATATGAACTGTGGGCCGAACAAGTTCCAAGACAATCCGTATATCTCGTTATGTCCACATAGTTAGCCGATTCGCCCAAATCCACTAGGACGTATGGGGAAAGGCTTTTCTGCTAGAACGTGAGTGCTGCGAATGCCAAAACCAACAGACCAAGGCCAACAGACGCTGCTCCCTGATTTCACCACAGCGTGCGAGGCCTAACGCCGTGTTCCTATTTTCATGGTACTCTTCAACTTTGTTGTTGATAAGAATCATTCGAGCTTCTCCAAGTTCTCCAGAGGAATGGCCCTGCTACTTGCTAGAGTGAAGAGCATATGACACGTGGAGAAACGAGCTCTAATTGGATCGGACTCAATTGCCCCCACAACGGGGTCTTTGAATGTCAAGACGCAGAGCATTGCGCAATTGAGTATCTGCGCTGCGGCTTCAATGTGCAATATGTTGGAGGCGACACATCAGTAGTTCGCAGTAGCATGGAAAATACACACAAATTGGTGAATCCGATCACGAAACAAGGTAGTTTTAACACCTATAGCGGTCACGTCATAAAAAGAAATACCGCGTACTACCGTGTATAAGCCGATCCATATATAAGCCGACAGTATAACTTTGCAACGTCAAATTTGTCCAAAATCCTAAGTCCGTATATTAGCCGACCCCCAAAAAATCAGCAAAAAAGAGAAACGAAATAGTTTCTCACGATTTTGACTTCATCACGACCTGCTCAATTTATTGTGCTCAAGTGAAAGCTGCTTTACTATTGGTCAGTTCTGGCGAACTACTGTGTTATGACCGCAGTTAATGGGGCTTAGAGCCGTCAGAACAAAGATCTGACCGCACTGGACAGTGTATTGACTAGATGTCAAGTCACATGAAACAGGTAAGACAGCCGAAAATATGGGGTAAGGTGAAAGGGTATGTTAGACACCGCCTCGCATAGACGGCGGCCTTATGCGTTTGAATCGCATTGGAGCAGTGCGTGAGAGGGAAGTTCACGATCAGTGGTGTGGGGTGACGTTGTACTTTTAATACACCAGATTGACTAGCATAGCATAATGTATAAGCGATATGTTTCGCTAACCAAAATGGCGCTAACGCGACGTCACACGATCCAGCTGAGAGGGAATGTGCCCATATTTCGTGCGAACATCCAAAGCCGTGGTGGTGTTCGGTTCTGTAGAAGCAGAATGTTTCTGTTACTGCCATCCGTCTCGAAGGTCAAATGTTCAATATACCGAGAATTTTCGACATAAACCTAGTGTTTACCTATAGGCACTTCAAATCCCCGCCTAGGATACCGTCTGTCACTAGCGAGTGGAGATAAGGCAAGATAAGGGTATAGGTATGCAGTTACTTTCTGGATGAATATAGCAGGTGATTTTTTGCAAATTGTTCATAACCTTTGAAAAGGCAAACCCCCACCCCACTATAGACATGGAAAGTTGTCCAAAATTCCTCGGCTTATACACGGTAATATACGGTACTGCACGCGTAGGGAAGATGGATGTGAGCTTGCATAACCCCGATGATCTACAGCGATAAAGATAAAACTGTATCGATCAGGGTATCAGCAATATGCCGGTACGCAGTACCAACGCTTCGCCGCCGCACAACCACCACCGGTGGCGTGTGGGTTAAGGATATCGCCACCACAAGCTTGCGATAGCCGGGGCAATCGGTTTTCGGTTGCTACAACCTCCTTTAGGTTCCCAAAAGAAACGGATCCAGACTCTGCAGATACCTTGGCCAGTGAAAGTAGAAAACGCCGAAGCCAGTTGCGTTAGATCGGAAACGCAATCGTCCTAGCTTACCTTGCCTGTCGGTACACGAATTTGGCCGGCATGTGATTTTTTCACCCAAATTAATCTGAGCAATTGTACTCCAGCTGCCATTTACATTATGTCCTTGTACTGGTCTGATGACGAATCCCCGAAAACAAGAAGAAAGGATTCAGTAGTACACCGGTACGTAGTACCAACGCTTCGCTCCACGCAACCACCACCGGTCGCACGTGGGCTAAAGATTCTGCGAGGGTCGCCCTGCCCCTAAGCAGGCTCGAACTCGCGCCATCAGATTACAAGATTAGCTCGCTACCATTAGGCTACGGGCCGCAGGAGTATACAACAATGAAGTGAGGTAGGTGTTACGGTATGGATTGGAGACACGAACACGGCATTGGCACACTGGCGTTCGCGAAGTATTGCTCTTATTTAATAAGTAATATCGAATGCAAATATATGGTGCTTGGTAAAAGAGCATTTAGCGCTGTTGTATAGTTTTGCTTCCAAAAAAGCAACGCTGACTGAGTCATATCCCTCGCCTGTAGTCCGGCCAGAAGCCTAGTGTTCGAGGTTGTAAAGCAGAATCGAGTGAATGGTGCAGTTGACCAATTACTGGCGCAGTATAAGGCATGGATAAGCGCAGTGTGTAAGGTCGGCATGTGTCCCCGTTTTGAGAGGGCCTCGGGTTGGCTATTGGATGTGGTACAGGTGGCTCCCTTGCACTCATTCACTCCGTTCTGGATAACCGACTGTTGATTGTACACATGAAGCGCTCATTTATGCACCTTCATTATCCTTGTTACTCGCATTTTCGGCGTTTCGTTATTTTTTATTCCGCTGGTCTACTCTAAGGCGGCCGTGTTCAGTGCACTACAGTAGGCATAAAATGGTGGATAGGACGAACTGGGTGGCATATAACTCTCACTAATGTGTGACGCGTGTGAATCTATGACATTAACAACACTAATGCTCACATTCCAGATAGAACTTTTACTGCTCCTTGATTTTATCAGATAGGCAAAAACGGAACCCATAGAGTATGGTTCTGTAGAAAGCAGTGAATGTGAATACGGGGGCCAAATACCAGTGAGTAAATACATTTTCAGCAGGGAGGCGATGAATTTTACAAGCAGAAGTAGCATCACGTATAGGCGAAATGGCATGCCATGTATTCGAAAACGCTAGCAAGCACAAAATGGGGTCGCAGACAGATTCATCTGAAAAGGTAGAAGCAACAATGGAGCAGAGGCAGGCATTCATCAAAACTATGTCCGATCAGATGGTCGTAAACACCCCGAATAATCTTGAAAGGTGGTTCAATCTTTTCGTGACTAGTCAACAAAGTCCATTACCTCGATCTGTTGAAAACACAGTCAGGCTCAAGCACTGATAGATCTAAAGAATTTCTAGAAACGGAAATAGAATGTACCCACTAAGTTACGCAACGAGGCCGGCAACTGAAAAAATAAAGCGCAATAATGTGGAGGGTTTCGGTGTGGTTCTCTTCCATCACTCCACCCGACGACCGACGGTTTCGTCCTGGTTTGGACTCATCAGGTAAAGATAACCGAACTGGGAGTGGGACTCGGCGCATAGTGTTTGGTGGCCATCGCCATGATCACTAGGCCATTGAGCTCCGCGCGTAATGCTCCAGAACCCGAAAATCAACTTCTGACCGCTGTATCAAGCATAGCTCTCGAACTCCATGGCATAGTGATCATAGCGATAGCCAACATACACTATGCGCCGAGTTCCACTCCCAGTTCGGCAATCTCTAGCTGATCAGTCTAAGCCAGGAAGAAACCATCGGTCGTGAAGTGCAGGGATGGGAGAGAGCCACACCGAAACCCTCCAATTCGGTGACCGTCCCAGTGATCGTAGTGGCAGAGGCTGACTCCAAAGTCCACCGACGCCACCATTAAGATTGCGTGTCGCAATCTAAGACACACGACTGGTGCTCCAAAACCCGAAAATCAAAGGGACAATGATTTTTTTAATCGAATGCACTCGAAGCATGGCCTCCTTGGGGTGAATCTTAGGAGGGTGGAGACTTTGCAACGAAATAAAAGTTTAACTGCAGAACACAGCTCGCCTAAACGAAAAAGGCAGAGAAAAAACCAGGTGTATTGGATGTGGAACTTGCCTGGGTTCGTAGTGCCTGAGAAGCAAGTTGTCGCAAACGAAAGTCGCGAAAATGTACGACAGAGTGCAGGCGACCGAGAGCATAGTACCACAAATGCATCCAGGCAACATCGCGTTTCACGTGAAGTGCACAGGTTTCTGAATTCATGCCAAACGTAGTGTCAACGCAGCTCTGATGTTTGAGTTGCCTCTTGGTTAGCTTAGCTTCAACACGTCGCATGCGTTGGCTTAAATGTGAAAGCAGATCAGAAGCTTCAGATAAAACACCTGCCGCCTTCAGAAAGTCACCCGTGCATTCTAGCAGATGAGCCGCGGTGACCAGATGACGAACCGCCCGAAGCAACTCGACTGGGTATTGATGTAATGCGTCTGAAGTGAACAGTAACCGATATCGCGTATCGAAGTGTGAACCAGTTGTGAAGGCGGGGCTTGTGGATATAGCAGAAACTAGTGACTTCCAGCACCGAGAGACTTTGGCTTTGCACGACTCAGCTAGATGAAGTTCAGTCTCCACAGTTGTATCGGGAATTCTGAAAACAACGGTGAAGTATTGTTTAAATTAAAAGACAATGACCGCTTTCATGATCACATACGTTGAAGATAGGCGCTAAGCATAGAACTGTTCAATAGTGTCCTGTAAATTAGAATATGGTTGCAAATCATCGCCCAACTCCATGAACAACCCATCATAACACATCATAATCAGTTGACCAAAAATTACACGAAGCAAGTAAGCAATCTGAAGAGCCATTCATTCCATGGCAGTGACTGCATCTCCCGTCAAACAGGACTTTACGCACATATAAATGATTAGTTAAAATGTCCAACACCAGAAAAGCTAGTAGTAGTTATGCCACATTATAGAAACAGAGTAAAGCTTTGATGATAACGACAAAGCATCACAACCGGACGGTTGGTTAGTATACAGTTCAGTTCGATTGAACAACTATGATTCCGGCCCCGAAATGCGGTGAATCTAGTTGCCACGACTCATATCGCAAGAATAACAATAAATAACAACAGCGAGATAAGGAGGTTAAAGGCAAATAGAATGTAAAGAAAATGGAGGCAACAAGGTGTTGCGGGTCCGTCAAAAGTCCCCGCCAAAACGCGCCAGAAACTCCGGCATAATGGCTGTGGAAAGCGAGGTCCATTTCCTCCCTACAACGCAGCAGCATTCAGCCACTCCGAGACGCGGCCCAACTGCGCACCTTTTGACAATGGTCTTTTACAAACTACCACCTCGTCGTGGTAGCAATTTTCCCTAACTTAATGACCCATAGCATTGGCTGTGATTTGCCCTTTGTTGGTCGTAAAAGAGCCTTCAGAGGACCACTTGCCTTTCCTTCTCTTCGCCTTAGTTGGGAGTCGGTCGGTCACGTGAGTTTGTGTGCGTCGTTAGCCGGCCAGCGTTCGCGTCTAAGTCACTAGTGCACGGCTACCGTAACCCCGTCTCGTGTGCGTCCGTTCCGAGGGCTCAGCGTCTATCCGAATACCTGCGGCTAGGACCGTTCTCACGCTCGCTCAATTGCCGTCTCACCAGCGCGTACACCCGGGCTAAGCTAACGCCATCAGGTCAACGTAAATCCGTTCGATTGGCCAGCGTTCCAACCCGTTACCGTAGGCATACTCCAATCGTGCCAGTGACAATCTTATCAGGCGTTACGCAATCAGAACAGAGGCGTTCCCTCAAGGGAGCACATTAAATGAGTCAGATTGGAACGAGGATTAACTACCAGATGCAAGAAACGGAATGCGGGAACGCCACTGACTGTGTCACTGTGTCATGGCTGATATGGTCTCCAACCATTGGAGTGAACCATCTCGAGGCCCCCACCAAGACGGACGCACTAGCCAGACCAAGTCTCTCAGACAGTTTCTCATGACTCCATGCCACGTCATCGACTGGCCATCTCGCGGTTTCCTCCAACTCGGGACAGTCACGGCCTAGAATGCACGCCGAGGAAGCCGGTCAACGGGTATAAGGAGGACATAGCCAAGCAAAGGTAAGCGATTAAGACTGAGTAAATACTCGGTAGCAGCAACAGAAAGCTTCTTGCCAAAAGCCAACTGGCGAACGTCAGCATTGTTCAGTCACAGTTCCTACTAGACATGAGCAATATTCCGCAAAACCCTGTGGTCAAACACGGCCAAACGTTTAACGTCTTCGCCACGAAGTGCCCAGGTCTCTGATCCATACAGTAACACAGGTCCTACCATTCACTGACAGGTTGATAGTCCGCCGTCACCAGAGATGGTTGAGAATCTCGAAAGCCACATGGGTTTTGTTGAGATGCGAAGTAACCTACTCAGTGATGTGACCACCAGAGGTGACACAGCTACCGATGTAACTAAATCGATCCATCACTTCTAGTGGCTGTTCAGTGATAGCTAGAACCGGAGGTGTGTCGGTCCAGTTCTGAAACAGAATTTTGCACTTGGAAGGTAAAAAAGCACATGCCGAAGCGTGCAGTGCTACGCACCATACTATCCAGTAGTGTCCGCACAGTCGCTGCCTCAGACCCAAGGATAGATATGTCGTCCGCATACTCCAAGTTTGTTAGTCAGTTGCGTGGCAGAACTTCCACTTCGGTAAAGTCAGAAAGAACCGAAGTTTCACGATCATTTTGATCACGAAGTTGAAGATGAAATGAGACATATAAGGAAGAAAAAATACACATAGAGCTAATTACGCGAGTTGACCGCTTCATCGAGAACCAAAAGGTTGACACGTGGTTTAGCGTTCGAACATGTCACATACTAAGCCAGCAAAGGCCCATATGTACTGAGAAATAAGCGGCCGATAAAGCAGATCACAGTGCGACAGAGTAACTTCACACGCAAGGAAACAAACGAAGACAAAGTAATGAACCGCCAACCAGAAAGTGGAAAAAAAGATCGACTTACAGTTGGTGTGCTAGTATTGGTACAGCTAAAGGATAACTTCGGTTCTATACCTTTGTATCTAGAGCATAGTAAACCTGGTAATGTCAGGCATGAAACATAGACGAAAGTAAGCGTCCTTGGGAACACGTAAGTGGTCACATAGTAAAGGAGTACATTGAGCTTGTGCGAGGGAACCTCGAGCACATGCACTGTATGTTTGCGCAAACATGTGACTTGTAAGGAAGCGACGGTGTACACAGCAATGTAGGACGTCATTCTGCACGAACATGTACAACGGGTCGTGAGGGCAGTTCTAGCAGCTCCCTAGGAGACAAAGGGATATTTCACAGCACATAAGTTCATAAAGTATCGATGAAGAGTCTTAAAACGTTTCCGGTGATGCTTCAAAATAGTTCGTAACGCTTCAGCGCGAGGTCCAATCCATCGAAAATGTGTCACTTAATGGCGTAGAATAATCTAGCCCGTTAGCCTTATGAAATATCCAAGGAAAGACACAGGGTTCATAGCAGATGGGCGTGTAAGGCAAATGTAGTGGAGACAACGCGGGGTCACAAAGCGTAGCATAGCAAGAAAAAATGATGTCGTGGGAGTATGCGATGGGAATGAACATATGGGCCAGAAAGATAGAAGTGGATGTGAACCTAAACGGACTCGGTCATTGTACGTGGCATGAACGGTGTTCATCTGTGCGACTACGATGGTTGACGTTTGGCAATTGCCCAATAACTATGACAGCCGTTCATCTCCAGGGCTTTTGGAGATGATGATTTCTCCGCCGGTTCCAAGTGCACTTTTAGTGGTAGAACTGTGCTGCCACTTCATTGGACCTAATAACAAGGCAGCAACAACGTCCATGTTGATTGAGGTACGCTGCCTTCGTATCCCGCCCTCTCCTTTATTGAGAATGCACCTACCTGTATGAAGGCCGTAGGTAAGCTGCTGGTGATCTTAAAAATGTTCGAAGAGACTGAGTTCAATCGGTTGATTGGTCCGATGAAGTAAAACTGGTTAGCGGCTCAATGAAGTGAATGTGACAGCGTACCACTTCATCTACAACTGTTAATTTTCCGAATTAGAACATTTAGCTGTTTTATTGAGTACTATGTTCCAATAACGCTAGTTTTGCTAGTACAGTTAGTACTAGTACTTCAACCCTCCGATAGGAAATCACTCTAATATCACAAAAGGTGAGTGGCAGGTGCCATACTCGCGATCGCTTTGCTACGTAGTACAAGGAGTAATTACTAAACAAGAAATCCCTATGTAAGTGATTTTCATCGGAAAGAACACGCGATATAAAGCGTTTGAGACTAGGAATGAGGGAAACGATCAAACTTGCAACGATTGGCGCTCGATTTTGCTGACGAAGCAAAGATATACATGAAAGTAGAAAAAGTTTCCAGTCACCGGGAAAATGAAACAGCTCTGTACGCAACCACCGTACGATGCCATTTACTCTTCGTGATCCATCTAAGTAGAAATAACTCCAATTAGCAGTTATGTTAACGCGGTAGTTCTCTTACGAAAACTCCAAGCGTTCATTCGAAAAGTCAAATCGCCTGTCAATCGCTAAGGTTGGAAAACGTTTGAATTCACAGTGTCAGATACGAATGAAAGTTGGCGAAACATGAAACGAAAGGCAGCGAGCAACGTGTCGAGGCGAGTCAAAAAAGCATCACTGGGAGGACACAGATGAAAGGGGCTGAGGCGAATCCTATAAAAAAAGAAGAGAAAAATGCTGCAAACGGGAGATTTTAATGGAGAAGTGAACGATAGAACACAGCGGCCATACATATAAAAGCGAAAACTAACCTCTTTTCCATTTCTGATTTAAATCGACGACTGTCGTCTAATTGCATAAATGTCCCACCAACATGCATGGACCGCGACAGAACATTCGTATGATCCACTGGTATAGTAGAACAAGCCCGATCATCAGCAGCTGTGGGTAAACTCAAGAGGTTAGCACATGGGAGCCCCCGTGGGGATATCGGTGAATTCGACTGTGCTTTTACTGGAGTACATTGTGTAGATACCTCGACGTCTGGAACATGTGTAGGTGAAGTCATAGTGGAGGCATCGATAAGATGAGTCTTCGGAGAAAAGTGGAAAGCGGCATCGGAAGACGGTGATTCAGGTGGAACTAACAGAACACCTGTCAGTGAGCGCGAGTTCATCGTATGCCTATGATCGGTCAAATCTGCATCTAATTGCGAATTCGGACATGTAGGTGAATTCAAAACCGACCGAAATTGTTCAAGAGTTGATTGAGAGAAACCGTTTCTTCCTGATTGTCGAATGACAGAATGCAATTTTGACCGAACCTTTGTAAGTGGGAGGTTGGTGAATATCCATCGATTCGAGGGAAAAGATCGAAGAACAGGAGTGGATGAGGGAACGGTCGGAGGTCGGGATTCACAGACACGAGATTGATGTGCAGTGGTAGTGGAAACTTGATGTGTGGTTTCCTGATTCATCAGACGGAGATCACTAGCGCTGGAAACAGGCGAGGTCGCAGGAATCAAGGTTAGAGCAATCTCTCCAACAGGGGAGGAGGACTTTGCCTCAGAACTTGGTAGGCGAGGTCCATTAAGTTTCAGTTTTTTGAAGCTGGGTTCCGGAGGTGGCATGTTAAGCCGGTCGGATGGTTGTGCATGGCAAGAAGCGCTGTATTGGTTCGTTAAGTTCGTGGCCTCATCCGCAGCAAAAGGATTATCCACAGATAACAAGTGTTTTACACTTTCCGAACTCTTCTCTGGCGTACCTGCACTCACAATCGAGGAGGGAGAAGCCGACTCTTTCGCAACAGATAGGTTCCCGTGCTCACAAAGACTGTGAGAAGATGTGGTTAAAGCAGTCGCACCGCGCCCATCAACAAGAGGAACTTCAGAAACTTTGTTGAGACGAACATGCTGGGAAGAAGTAGGGGTGGTATTGGCCTGATCGAGCCTCCCGCTAACCAGATTTCCCTTTTGTTTGTCAAGAATGGGCATCTCGCAAGAAGACATGCGTAATGAACTCGTTAAGCTTACATCTGTGACAAAAGAGTTGCCACGAATGAAGTTGGTGCAAGTAGTGCCCATGGGTTCTGATAAGGCAGCTGCGTCGCCGCATGGCCTTAGTGGGGAGATTGCAAGCACAGGAGAACAGCGATAGTCAAGATGGAATGTATCCAACTTCAAACTATCAACTTCACCATTCAACGTCTTGCTTGAAATCAGATCAACCACACTATTGTCACGTAGAGCACAGTTTTCTTTATCCACAACTGATACCGCAGTGTCTAACCGCCAGTATGACAACGTATCCGGTGAGAGATTTTTAACAAAACATTTTTCAGATGTAGCTAATACTGCTTTAGATTCGAGAACCAACTGCCTGATACGATCGCTTTGTAGACAGATGGGTGCACGAAGCACATTGTCAGCAGATAATCGCTGAGTACGGGCGTTGGTCTTGGAAGCATGAGATAACGATAAGGGCGAATTCTTGCGATGACCAGAGGAGAGAACCGTTGCCCAGCCCTCGGTGTCCGAGTACTCAGGATGATCAGTGGATGGACAGTTAAAGTGGTTTCGATCGAATTCTACTATGGCGGAAGTGTTGGAGTGCAGAGCTGAAAAGGATGGTCGAAGGGCCTCAGGATGATAGTTAGAAGCTGAACGAGGGGTGCTGCAACATGGGAGAAACAAGCCAAAGAAAGTACAGTAAGGATCGGGTAAAACGAAAAACAGAGGAAATCTGTAACATAGCATGCATGAAGTGAAGTGGTTCCCAATGGGTTCGACAAATGGCTAAGGAAAACAAAGCAAAGTATAATAGAAAAAGACGACAGTCCCTTGCACAACTTCAAAGTCGCAGGAAAAAAGCAGTACAAGCCCTAAGTCTAAACAACAGAAGACAAATAAGATAGCTAGAAGCCAGTAAGAAGGGTTCGAACGTCTGACTTGCAACTTAAAAACCCATGTTTCCAGTCCCTGCTCATGCTTAGGTTTTGGCACTGTGGAAGTATCCCAACCCCTTTACGACCGCTTGCGATTGTGAGGCATCGAAATAGCAGTGCGAAGCACTGGTGTAGTGTCAATATTTTATCCTTTTGTCCTAGAAAAGCAGTGATAAACCAGCCCGTAATGAGCTGTCGGACTACTTCTGCGAGTGGCGGGTATAATGATACAAGAGCCACATACATTCTGGCTAGATGAGAGTCCAAAGTCCACTGTGTGATGGCATCTGGAAAAGCACGGGTACAGTGAGAAACGTACTTCCGGAACCAAACAGCATTCACTGCATATCATTGCAGATAGTGTAATTATAGGTAAAACTCAAGGTCTCCTTGGTGTCAAAAAGTATACTGAAAAGGAAAACGGGATGGGGATGACTGTCTATTGAAGCACGGGGATAAAATATCGCCGGCAGAGTGGCTATCATGATGGATCCAATGTATGACGGTCGAAAGACGCGGCACCTGTCAAAGCGCGCAATGAGCATCACCCAGGTTGAGTTTGTCAAGGTAGCACGGGCTATTAACAGCTCCATTTTGGCTCAACTTGTCGATACCAGGCAACAAATAGTAGTGAACCGTGCCATTCGGTTACTCTTGCAGAATACCCAGTTGCAATCGAAAGGCCTACGCCTCCGTATGCTTGTAACAGTCGAGGCAACCGGTTTTCGGTTGCTACAACCTCCTTTAGGTCCCCAAAAGAAACGGATCCAGACTCTGCAGCTACCTTGGCCAGTGAAAGTAGAAAACGCCGAAGCCAGTTGCGTTAGATCGGAAATGCAATCGTCCTAGTTTAGCTTGCCCGTCGGTACACGAAGTTGGCCGGCATGTGAGTTATTTCACCCAAATTAGTCTGAGTAATTGTACTCCCACTGATATTTTCCTTATTTGGTTGCACAGGTCTGATGAGGAACCACCGAAAACAAGAAAGAAAAAAGGCTTCAACAGTACGTCGTACCAACCCTTCACCGCTACGCAACCACTACCGGTCGCACATGGGATAGGGATACTGCGAGGGTCGCTTTGCCCCTAAGCAGACTCGAACCCGCGCCGTCAGATTACAAGACTAGATCGTTACCTTTAGGCTACGGGCCGGTTACCGAAAACAATTGTTCACCTCCGGTTCTATGTTCTTGATACTTAAATGGGGATTTTCAAGTAGGTGAAATTGTCCAAACCGCCCTCAATGTTTCAACACTGAGGGCGGAGCTGAGTCAGTTCCTTAGGTTCTCCACTAAGCTCATCGACGCCAATGCTTGTGTGCAGCGGAATGAATACCCAACCAGGTTCTGAAAGCAGTTGCGACGTGATCGTATTAAGCGTAACAGTAAAACACATAGGACAGCATGCATTAATCCATCGTGACACCGTGTAATCAGAAACTGTCGAATTCTAACGCAATTTAGCACAGCACCTACCTGCGGCTGAGGAACTGGCTGCCGAAGAAAAGATGTTTCTGGAATATGTTGTCTGTTACAAACAACTGAGTACGACTAAAGCATTTGGCTATAGCAAAGATGTTGAGTCAGGTTAAACCATAAGTCTCGTTCCCTAATAGACCTAATAGCCTGAAAACGAGCACCACTTTGGTCGAGTTGTAATTTGAAAGCTTAATTTGCCAGAAAATGGAGTTAGTTCGAAGTCGAGCGTGCCGAGCTTTTATGTAATGCTTCTCTTTTCTACTTTGGCTATAATCTATGGACTAACCCTGAGCTATCGACTGAATGTTCGAGCAACTCAGAACCATATTTCAGCTCGATTTGACGCTACCAACACCGATGGAAGTTAACTTGAAATTAATGCTTAGCCTAACACTCATCTGCTCCTGATTTGATCACACAAATGGGAATATTAGCTTTGCTGAAAATCAGCATTGCATGTGATTCGTTGGAGTTTTTGGATGGGTAACTGAAGCTCGGTACTCATCCGGAAGTGCAGGGTAGGAGTGGAATTCCTCAATGAATGCATGCAGTCAAGTCGCTATCCCACACACTTTTGGAGAGATACGGTGATGTGGTCTCTATCCAAACGCGATAACCTTGAAGGGACATATGCTTAATAACGTGGATATAATCCGCATGAAGATGTCGGAGCTTGAAAGATTTGTTTCGCAACGGTTAAGTTTGCCTGTAAAGGTGAAAAGCCTTTTGAAGAATATGTGGAGTTGGTTAGGCTGAAAATGGGTGTAAAGAAACGACAGAAAATACTTAGCACAATGAATAACCAGGTTCCGCAACTAATCTTCCAGAATAACCCGGAAAGGTGTGTTTGGCCTATCCAGTGTGATAATAAGCCGGGCATAGTCGTACATGTTGTCGTCAGCCCTAAATTTTGCCTTCCATGTAAGCAAATACATGAGGCATCTTTAGAGGCGCAGTTTAAACGCAGAATGACGGACTCAAAATCGGTTTTCAACAGCATCTGGTGATGTTCAGGACATGAAGTATAGCCTAGTGAATAGTTGTCACAAATTGGTAAGGGTCAAACCAACAAGTCATGGCATTATTAGAAGTGAGAAAATGCAGGCATTCAAGGAGCTGCAGTCAAACAGAGAATTAATAACCTATAAGCCAGATAAAGGTTCGGGAATCGTGTTAATGGATAGGACTGATTATATAGTTAAGACGCAACACATCTTTAGTGATGAGTGTAATTTTCAGAGGTACATAACAGAAAAAGACAACACAGCGGAGAAACAGCTAACCGGCTGCCTCAGACAGATGATGCAGGCAACCTTATCACGAAAAAGGAATTCGAAAACCTGAAGTCCCAAGTTGCACACCTTTCGAAGTTCACAATGAAGGCGCCCCAATGCGTCCAATCCTGGATATGGTGGGTTCCCCGAGCATCTGTTGGCTCAGTGGATGGTGGAGAAACTGCAACCGCAACGGAGCTAATTCATTGAAAAGATAGCCAAAGTTAATTTGACGACAGAAGTATATCATTTGACAAGGTCGCCATTTATGAACATTTAGCTGCTCGAAACTGTGGAGTACGTGTGCGAACTGTCCATTTATACAACGTTTCCGGAAACTCCATTGAAAGAGGCATCATTTTCGTGCACCCTAAACGTTAACTTCACATTCAAAGTTGGAATTTACTGTCAGACTGGTGGAGTAGCCATGGGATCTCCTTTTGGCCGATGTCTTGGTGTGAAAATTGGAACATGGTCCTCCTATGACGCACACTCGTGGGACTGAAATGTATGTTGATGGCACTTTCGTAGTTTGCAAGTCGGAAAAGCATCCGGCGCAGTCTTTCAAGGATGCTCATGTGAAGAATCACATGAGTTTGGAAACCGACTACCTTTTCTGGATGTTGACGTTGTCTGTAACTCCGATGGATCTCTTAGCAGAAAGGTGCACAGAAAGCACACATGGACTGGGCAATACAGGAACTTTTACAGCGCAGTGTCGCTACAGTAGAAAAGAAATTTGATCCGATCTCTCGCCTTCAGAGCGTGCAGTATTTGCACACCGGATACCGTCAACGAAGAATCGCAGAGTATCAATGACGCATTGAAGGAAAATCGCTATGCAGATAAATTTATCACGAAGCATCCGAGGAAACAAACACTTGACACCTAGGAGTATTGTTTCTAAAAAAAAGCTCATGCACTTGCCATTTAAGAGCGATTCTGCTGCTGATACCCTATATCGACGCTTGAAAGATGCTGTTGAGAAGACCTATTTCGCGGCCCGATTTAGTAATGTTCCTACAACAAGCCACTGCTTGCTAAAGGTTTGAAGGACGAACTGTCTTCGCTAGCCCGTTCAATGATCGGTTATCAATACTCGTGTTCCTGTGGTGCACAATACGTGGGTCGCACTACGAGGCGCCTATCTCAGAGGATTCTTGAGCACATCCCGGAGTGGTGTTAGAAAGGCGAAATGAGGTCCTCAAACAGCTCGATCATGTTACATATCCTTGGATGTGGCCACAATGCATCTGAGATTGACTTTAGAGACACCTACTCACTATCTGAACGCTTCTCGCAAGGATTTCGAAAGCAGCTCCTGTCCATTTTAAGTCGAACTGTGTGCAAAAGCGGTACATACGTCCGTCAATACTACGGACAATGTTATCTAACCGTTTAGTTGTCACCTGAGCTCATAACGGTTTAGTCTCGAGCATTAGAGTAATGCTTTTCTCTTTTTCACTCTGCCTGCCATCTACGGCTATAGGGTCACTAACCACTCACTTCTGGTCGCAGAAGTGAGTATTCAACGGAGAGCAGATGAACTATCTCGATGGCTACCGGCTTCTGCGAAGGTGTATGAGCCACCTGGCTATCAACGACTTTCATGCTCTTCGGCTAGTACGATGGTTTAGGAAATTTCTCCCAGTCTTCGTGCTGCTTCATTCGGGTTTCTTGGACAGTCTGAGCAGCTTGTGCCCGCTCGAAAGCCGTGTTGTCATTATCATGGTAAAACAGTGGGTCCCCTTCAGCCATTTGGTCAGAGCAGTGAGAAGACATATGTTACGATATGTTAACATTTCGATTGTTCTCATCAGTCGCAAACACGATACAAGCGGGATTCATGGACAGTTATATACAGGGGAAAACGTTGATACACCAATCAAAATGTTAAAATCAAGACCACGGTAACTTAATTGATTGTCTCAATAGTTTCTGTGCGCGCAACACAGGTTGATAAGCCCTAATTAACAA